AGCAGTAGCAGTTGCAGTTGCAGTAGTAGTAGTAGTAGTAGTAGTAGTAGTAGTAGTAGCAGTAGTAGTAGTAGTAGTAGTAGCAGTAGTAGTAGTACTAGAAAAAATAGAAATAGTAGAAGTAGTAGAAGCAGTAGAAGTAGTAGAAGTAGTAGAAGTAATAGAAGTGGTAGAAGTAGTAGTAGTAGTAGTAGTAGTAGTAGTAGGAGGAGGAGTAGAAGTAGTAGTAGTAGAAGTAGTAGAAGTAGTAGAAGTAGAAGCAGTAGTAGTAGTAGTAGTAGTAGTAGTAGTGGTGGTGGTGGTGGTGGTGGTGGTGGTGGTGGTGGTGGTGGTAGTAGTAGTAGTAGTATATCTAGTACTAGTACTAGAGTAGTAGTAGTAGTAGTAGTAGTAGTAGTAGTAGTAGTAACAAGGGTAGCAGGAGTAGGACTAGGACTAGGAGTAGGAGTAGGAGCAGCAGCGGCAGCAGCAGTAGTTGTAATAGTGGTTGTTGTGGCAGGGGTAGTGCTTTTCGTGGTGGTAGTTGTGGTGGCAGTGTGGTGTAGGGTGTGGAGTTGAGGCGAGAGGTTTGAGAGTTGTTTGATGGCGCGTGGCCAAGGTCGCAAAAGCAACTCCAAGCAGTGGGCCATGGGGTTGACAGTCTTGGTTCGTCATTCGCAAAGACTACTGCGGATCTTTCGCTCCGAGTTGCATTTGGCCTGGGCACCTGAGGAATGACGGCCTACGATGGCATTCTCCCTACAGGCGCTAGATGCCCCAAGTCTGCTACTTGTACGTCGAAGCTTTCGCAGAATATTGCTTTGCTCTCGTGCAGCCATCACGAAAACTTCGCGGACGCATTTGCACGCACCTGTAGATCACGGCTTCTATACATATGTCTCAGGAACCTTGGGCACCAGCATATCGGAAACTGGCCCTGCCCAGCCGGGCGGCAGCCCTGGATGTCCGCACCTGGAAGGAAAGCACCAACCACATCCAAGGCCCTTTGCGTTTGCTCCACAGCTCCCGGCAGTAGTAACCCCCGGTCTCTCCGGTCACCCACTCTTGCGGGCCTGAAGTGTCAAGAACTACCAAAGAACAAAACAACACAGCTTCCCCAATGGATGGTTTTCGTGGGCTGCGGGCAAGGCGTCGCACCACCTGGCAAATACGTGAGGCTGCTTCAGAAACATGCGGAACGCCTTCAGATCTCAAGGGGAGCAAACACCGCCCTGCAAGTCCGTCGGGCTGACATTCCCCTGGCTGCAAACCTCCTGCATACAATCGCCGATGTAGCTTGACTACATCGCTGTCTTGCTTCCGTGCCTCTGAAGAAACAGAGAAGAATGACGAGGTAGATGACAAGCACCTTGGAAGGCGCAGCAGTGCGGCCGTGAACCTCAAGGAGTCCCTTTTCCTGGTGTGCAATTGGGAATCCACCTGAGAGCATCGCAGCAACCAGACCCAGAGCGAGTCGCCAGAGAAAGACTGGTTCGACATTGAAGTGCTCACCTTGGAGTTGCACTCCATCTCCCAACCACAAAAAGCTCCAATGAAGCAGGAGTCCCACTTTCTCACAAGGAGAGACAAGCAGCTGATCACGCGGACAGGCAGTGGTATCCGCTCGTCATCCGAAGCTGCAGACACCTTGTTCTAAAACACACTGCACAAGTCAGACCGTGCGACGGACATCTCCAGAGCATAATCAGCACGGAACGGACACATCATCAGCTTCACTCCTGTTAAGAGGCTGCTGGCTCCAGACAAAACTTGAAGAGTCGGGCCCATTCTCCTTGTGCTGCCGCGCAAGCTTCTTTGGCTGGCATCCGATCCCGATTGAACGCTGTGGCGTGGCTCGCGCGGAACTTGGAGTCGTGTCGTTCGGCCGGTTTCGGCATCTCCTGCTATTCCAGCAATGCGGAGACTGAGGCTCTAAGTTCGGAAACTGTCTGAGCAACACACCGGATGTATCCATGCCGCAAGGCGAATGCAAAGCTTTCGACAATGCTGTTGATCCGAATATGCTATCGCGTGCTCATGCGTGCTCTACCTTCACTGCTCGGTTGTAGTTGAAATTAGCCTCAATTGGCTCCAAACCACTGTGCACCTGGGTGCGGCATCCTCTCTGGCTGAGCACGGCAGCGACTGCCAGGACAAAGACTTGACATGCACAGTGGTCGCAGGGCTCGGCGACCCGTGGTGAAACACATGGCTTCGTGCTGCAGTGATCTGGTGGTTTCCGAAAATAGGGGACCCTAACATAGTACCCCAAATAGTAGGATCCTTATTATGTAAGGACCCCAATAAGGTCCCCCTTATTTCGGAAACTCCCATCTTTTTCCACGTGCAATCGAGTCTCCAGGCTCTCGAGCTTTGGACGCCTTTCTATGCACATATGCGAAAAGAACAAGCCCCGCTCGATGCTACTCACTGGTACCAGTGCCTTTTGTACCTGGCAGAGGACTTTCACACATACATACACACATACATACATACATACATACATACATACATACATACATACATACATACATGCGTACACACCAACACACAGAAAGAAACACACACGCACAAACACCCGCACACACAAACACACACACACACAGACGGACACAGACAAACACACGGTGCTTGCAAATCATGCAAACATCGTCCGCCCTCTCACAGCACTGCGGCGGGATGCATGTCCGGAAGTGCTGCAGACAGCAGGGCTAGTGGCAAGCATGATAGAAAAAAACTGACGATACCTGCAAAAAACAAAACACCACAACTGTTCTCAAAGCAGTTTCGACAGTTCGGCATCGACAATATTGGCCCGCAAAGAGCCTCAGCACTCACGCGTTTGAGCTTCCCGTGCGCTTTTTCTGCCGCGCAGCCGGGTGTGTCAACACACTCGCATAGGTTTTTCGCTGTGCGATCGAGGCGCTTCGAAAAAACTGGCTCCTGAACGATAACTATGGCTCCACTGCCACCTGTTCGCGCGTGCTGCAGCAGCTTGAACCGTGCTCACTGACTCGCTTCGCAAAGAACTACCCTTGACTTGTCATGCGCTTCCACATATGTACGCCTTCGGGACAGGTTCTCTGAGCTGGCAAATGCCTCGCGACCTGCCCTGCTTCTGCGGCCTGCGTCTCGGGAAGCGTCAGGTGCCTTGTTACCTCTTTGCGCTCTGGTTGCAGAACCTGGCCAGCACTTGGAGGAACCTGAGACTTAATAAGTAAGGCTCTAGGTACCTTAACTCGAGCTATAATTAACCATAGCTACCACTTACGTTATGTATCACGCTGCTAGCTAGGCCTTGGCTACGATGCCCCAGGATACTCCAAGCATCTCTTGCAGATCCATTGTGGCTTAGCTGGCCAGCCTGCTCCTGGAAAACGGCGGGCCCCTGCCTCCAGACCTTGTCTGGGCTCTCGTTCAGGAACTTTTGTTTAGGTTATCATTCTAGGGATCTATAGCAAGTAGTATGCTTCCCCTGCTGGCTTAAATTGAATCCCTTAACAAGAACCCAGTCGTGCTTGAAGGCACGAGGCTGTGCCTTGAACTGCCACAGACAAGGGCCGAACGGCCAAACTCCATGACGGTGCCGACACCATGGGTCCTGCAAGCGCGTCGTAGCATCGTAGCATGACGCAATAGTGCAATATTATAGTATATTTCTTTTGGCACCCACATGGCAACGTCAGCATTATAGTATATTAAAATAGAATAAATAGAATAGCATAACTTTGCTTTATAACAACGCAGTATAATAGTACATTATGATATGCTACTGCACTAATATCCAAAAATATCAAGATGATCCGTCTGGCGTCTCCTAGGAGTCGGATCTTTGTACAAGAACCGGCCGATCCCCTCTTCTCTGCCTTGGTCGTGGGGTTCGACGCTCACTCGGACAATCCAGGCGAGACACGTGGTTTTAGGTCGGCTGATGGTGTGGAAGAGTTTAGGATTAGGGTATGTTAGGGTTCAGGGGGCTTCATGGCACACAGCAGCCCCTGGATTCCGTGAGTAGGAACCTGATTAAGAAATATTGGTTCTATAAGGTCTGACCTTTTAAGGTTATTGACATGACCCTTAATAATTAATATTTTGGGGTTGTACTATAACCACAAAACGTTATGGCTCATAATAAAGAACCCTGATAAGGAAGGACCCAGGGTTTCTTAATCAGGTTCCTGTATTGTCTGAGGAGTGTGCCCCCAGAACCTTCCGTGAAGAGGCGGAAATGCTCCAGAAATCGCATGTACGTGAACCTCAGCTAAGCAACAAAAACCGCCCGCGTTTTCGTTGGGTGACTCTCAACCTGGCACCCTGCCGCGTTTGCGACTTCCAGGACTTGTTCTCTTCCATACACGCCAGATCTGAGCGACAGGTCGGGCCACCGCGTCTATGGAAGGTGCAAGATCGTTGCTCGGCACACTGCATTTGCCGGCTTCTGTGCGACACTTCTTCTGGTAGCTGTCTGGGCAACGCCTTCAAGCAAAGCTCGGTCTGCGACAGGTTGATTCAGCCGTTGTCGTAGGCTTGCGGCCGCACACATTCCAGGAATGAATCGTAGGCCTGACCAGAACGTTGACGTTTGCCACCCACAGCCGGATTGCAATTACAAACGTTGGCTTACACCGCGCCTTAGAACAAGGGTGATCCCTGGTCTGGATGCCACCCCTGAGTGAATGAATTTCGTGAGAACTGCAAACTCTACTCGAGCGCCGCCAATGTTGGTGGGCACGAGCTACTAAGGCGCAGACTCCTTCTTGGAGATGCGCTTGGCCTTGCGAGAGCCACTTCCGTCACTCAAAATGGACCACACCACAAAGGACACGTCGCTCCAGCATCGCACTGCGATTTTTCATGGGCGTCACGGCTGCATCATGCGCATTTGTACCGCACCCGCATCATTTGAGCTTCGATCGCTCCTCAAGCACTCGTGACACGCGGAGGAGTGCTTGGCATGCTGAGGAAACGAATCCGATGAAACAAATTCGCGAAGCTTCCGGGTGAAAGCCATCTGCGGCCCTGGAACCGACTCTTACCCGGGCTTGCAAAATCTCTAGATCTTTGTAAGCAAGAAACGGACTGGCAGGGGAACATACCTTGAGGAAAACCTAGAATGATCCCAAACCCTAACCCCAAACCCTTTTGAAGCATGGGCTTGGATTGTGTGCCAGCGAGCATTCCTCAACAGCAGGGAAACCCTCAACCCTAATCCTTAAACCCCAAAACCCCAAAATCCGATGTTTCAACCCTAAACCCTAAACCCTAAACCCTAAACCCCAAAGTCCGATGTTTCATCGCCTCCTCAGCCAAGTTTCAAGGACAAGTCGACCCATGAGCTTTGCCGGGAAGCCCCGAATCTGCCTGGCGACGGCGAAAAGAGCTGCGTCCAGGAGACTCGGCAACCTTTATAGCGGTACAAGCTATACCCGTATTTTCTTCTGAGCGTGACTGGGCTCCTGACCAAAGCACATATTGTGCTTCACACCAAACATGAGGACTATACAATAGGCAGGAGATCGGATCGTAAAAACAGAGCAACCGCACCATCATGACTCTGAAGTGACATTACCAAGAGCAATACCAGGAGAAGGCGTAAGCCTTTTGGCAAAGCCAACATTTATGCAAACGGAGGTAGCCTCTGAATTGCTGTGTTCATTACATCCTGTAGATGATTGTTGTTTTCTATGTCGAAGACTGCATGGGGCCCATACAAGAACTGATATGCGTCAGTGTAGGTTTCAGTAAGCCAATCGCTTCGGGGTCTG